TAGTCTAAGTGGGGGCTTCAGGGCACTGAACGCCGCGCAGGGCTCAGGGGAGCGGGGCAGGGGCCCTGGCCAGGCTTACCTTCAGAAGCTGGACCATGTCCACGGGCCTCTGGGAAGTCAAGTGTGGAGAAGAATCTGGCTTGGGGGTGGCCTGGGCTTCAGTGTGCGTCAGGGCCAGTCCTGGAGGGGTGCTGGGGCTTGAGGTCGTGGGGACAAACGACGGCTGCTTTGGGGCAGCCTGAGCTGGGAGAGGGGCCGGGAGGTCAGGCTTCATGGAGACAGACACAGGCGACGGGTAGGAGGTCTGACTTGTTTCTGCCTGTGCCCTCTGGACCTGGGCATGAGGCTCGGCTGGCCTGTTTGTGGGGACGGTTGGGAGACGAGGCTGTTCGACTCCCGTCTGGGTCCCCTTCGCCTCCTGGGAGACCTGAGGCATCTTGCTGCTTGGTGGCTGGCCTGGCTGGCTGAGCTGGGAGGGCTGGCAGGGCTGTGTGGGCTGTGCAGGCTGTGTGGACTGCACAGGCTGGACAGGCTGTGTAGACTGCGCAGGCTGAGTGGGCTGCAAGGGCTCACCTTCAGGAGCCGGGCCCTGGAGTTCGGCGGGAGAGAGGGGGACAGAGTAAAGAGCCTGTTGTGCCCAGCACCCTGCCCCGCACCAACTGGCCATGGGTTTCTGGGCAGGGTCGGCCTCAGGCACCTCTGGTGAGCCAGGCCCACGGTGGCGATCCTCTTGGGTACTCGGGATTGAAGGTTCTGGTGGGAGGTCACCCGCTCGCTCCCCCCTCCTCCCCCGCTGCAGCCAGTAGCCACCTCCTGGTTCCCACAGCTCCTTCCCGTGTCTCCGCCCTCTGCATTGTGACCTGATCCCCTCATCCTGCAATTTAGGGAGCTCCTCTTTAAACTCACGAAAACGGCAACACGTTTCGGGGACCTCACTGGCGTCTCAACCGCTATAGGGAGTAAGGCTGATCTGTGGCACTCACCTGAGCGGGAGCCTTGGTCCGAGGAGGTAGACCGATGGAGGTGGCAGCAGGAAACTGCGTGTGTGTGAGCTGCGCGGGGCTGTGGTAGGTGCGGATGTCTCCGTATCTGTACTCCTGAAACAGCTCCCCGCTGGAGTGCACGATCTGCACCCCATGGGTCACCACCACGGGTGGGGTGAGAGGCAGCCCCTGGAGCTGGCTGCTGGGGGTGACCGTGAGGATGCGGGCCTCACCGTGGGGGGCGGGGGCTGGCGCGGCTTTGGCATCTGCGGTCTTGGCGGCGTCTTTCCCGGGCTGCTGAGGGACCTTGCTGGCTGGTGGCACCTTCACTACCCCGTCGGCTGCCCGGGGCTGCTCGCTGACTGCCGTCACGTGCGGATGCACCATGATCCTCACGTCCCGGGGCACGGTGTACGGGTGCAGTCGGTACTCAGACTGCATGACCAGCACCTCTGACTGCACAGGGGCCGCAGCTCGAGCGACAGGGAGGTGATAATGCACTTCTTCCTCTGCAGGGTGTTGGGGGGCCAAGGCCGGCACGCCAGCTGTGGCTGGCTGCGGTGTGCCTGCACGCTGCGGGGCCCGGACCTCTATCTGCTGGGGCTGCAGAGGGGCCCTCGGAGAGTGAAGGGTCTCTGGCCGGATGCTGTAGGTGATGCTGGGCAGCGTGGGAGTGTTCATTCTCACCTCGCCCTGGGACAGGTGGCTGAGGGACACGGTCTGGGTGATGCTGTGCGGGGGCATGATGACAGACTGCTCCGGGTGTATGCTAGAGATGAACTGAGGCACAGGAATGCCCGCAGCCAGCATGACCGTGGCATTAGTGGAGAGCGCGGTGGATGTGGTGCTGCTGGGGTGGCACGCTCTCGGGAAGGGGGTCGGAGCGGGCCCGCTGGGGCGAGGAGAATGCGCATCTGGCTTTGTGGCTGCCAAATGGGAGACCGTTCGATCTGTCGGGGTACTGGGCCCCGAGGCGACGTGGTTCACTTCTGTAGGCAGTTTGCTGGGCAGAGCAGGAGGGTGGTGGGGAGTGAGTGCAGACCCCAGGTTAGCCGGCTGAAGGACCTTGGTCTCTATTTTGAGGGTGACGGGGTCAGCAAGCTTTTTATTAGTGGTGACTATGCTTGGGGTGAGGACCAGCTGGTTGTGAACCAGCACTGGGGGTGTGTTTATGCCCTGGGTGAGAACCTTCACTGTGCCACCCTGGGTGACAGGGGTGGACACAGAGAGGTGAATGGGCTCGGGCTTCTCCAGGGATGGACGGTCAGCCTTAACAGATGAAATCACAGGAGACGCGTTGTACGTCTGGGCAGTCAGTACCAGAGTAGAATGGGTGGCCACATTTGCATAGCCTGAAGGGGCCTGGGGGCCTTTGGGCGAAGGCTGCGCTGGTGCAACAGCATCTGGTTTGACCTGGGACTTGGACACTGACTGCTGAAATTCGATGTCCATTGCACTGGCGGGGGGGATCTGGCTAATCTTGGCGCTGATCCGCTGCGGGCCTTCAGTCTTCTGCCCCGAATAGCTCAGCAGCACGACCCCTTCGGATGTGTTCACACGCAGGCCGGCACCAGAGCCCGTGTCTGCTGGACGGTCGTCAATCACCGACATAGACCCCGGGTGGAACCGACTGTTTTCATTAGTGCTCGGTCTGGGTTTGCACTTTGCTGACGGTGTAATCACTGCACCTGCCACAGTTACTGCACCTGTTGTGGCAGTCACACTGCCAGAGGCAGCGGTCACTGCACCTGCTGTGACTGTCACCGCGCCTGCATTCATGGTGCCCGCAGCGGCGTTCACCGCGCCCACGGTGGCGTTCACCGCACCTGCAGCGGCGTTCACCGCGCCCACGGTGGCGTTCACCGGGGTGGTGAGAACGTTCACTGGCCCCGTCAGAACGTTCACGGGCCCCTTTAGGACGTTCACGGGGCCGGCAGGAGTGTTTACCAAACCTTTCAGTGTGGTCACCGGGCCCTTCACAGAGCTTTTGAGGGCATTCACCGGGCCGGTAAGGGCATTCACTGGGACCAAGGACACATTCACCAGGCCCGTCAGAGCGCTCACCAGGCCAGTCAGGGTTTGAGGAGCTGGTTTTGCCAGAGTGATCTTTTGCGAGTTCTCCAAATCAATGCTCACGGGCATCCGACTAATAACAGAAGTAATTTTGGGAGCAATGACTGGAGCCACCTTTTCCTTTTCAGTGGCTACTGGAGCCTCTGGGGCCTGTGTGTCAGAGGTGTTGGTTACTGGAGCTGGTTTTTCTTCTAAAAGAGGCTTTTTAGACTCAACTGGAGGAGGGGGTGGTGCCTCATGCAGGCAAGGGGCGGAACTGACGGGCTCTGCAATGGCAGTCGTGACACTCGTGGAAGTGACGCCAGTGGCGGAGACGTATTTGGGGTCCATGAGGATCTTCCTCAGCGTACTGGAGCTGGTGTCGATGTCAGAAGCTTTCGTGTCTGGGGGAAGAGCTGGAGATGGGGTGGACTGAGCCCGAGGCTCCTCCTGCCTTGTGATCCACTCTGTGACCTTCGTAGAGGAGCTCTGGTGTGGGACCCCCCCAGAGGCGACAGGAGGTGGGAGCTTTGCTGCAGTTACAGAAGGAATTGGGGGTGTGGGTGTGCTGGAGTCACTGGGTGGGGTCACTGGGTCACTTTCGATGATGGAATGCACCTTGAATCTGGCTTGAGGCTCATCCTCCACTGGTGCTGGCTGGGAGGGCGGGGGAAGGTCTGGGAGTGCAGATGCTCTGGTCGGTGTCTTTTCTTCCACGCTGCTGTCTTGGGACAAGTTCTCCAGGGATGGGGTCTTGCTTGGGTCAGAAGAACAGGACTCAGGTGGAGCGGACTGGGGCTTTTCTCTCTGCTTCTCTTCCTGTGGCGCTTCTGGGGGTGGCGCCGCCCTCCCCTCATTTATAGCAGGACTCTTGCTTTGACCTTGGTCAGGTTCAGAGACGGGAGTCTCTGTACTGACCCCCGTTTTCTTATTTGTATTCCGTTTGCGGCGTGATCGAGTTGTCTTCTGGCGCCCTTTCTCTTTCCGAGCAAGAGGGACTTCTGCTTCTTTTGATCCTTTGGCTTCTGGCACTGGCTGGGAGGGTTCGCTGCTGTTCCCTCCAGCTTCCTTGGTATCTGCTGGGCCTGCTGAGGGGTCAGGGGCACTGACTGGTGGCCCAGAAGATTCTGCGGTAGCCTCGGTCTCCAAGATGCCGGACACAGCCTCATGGGTCTCAGGCTCCATTCCCTCCCCAGGGGGCCGCAGCACTTGAGGACGGGGCTGTAGATCTGCCTGTGGTTCTGCAGGGTAAGGGGGGGCTGCTGGGAAGTTTTCTGGCTCCCCAGAAATGTCATTGATGATGGAGCCAATGGCCGCAGCCAGTTCTGTTTCACTTGCTTGGTGTGCGGGCTTGTCCCCATCCTCTGTGGAGAGGCCCTCTGGTGCATCTGTGGCCGCCGCCTTGAAGGCCGCGGAGGTGGTCTCAGTGAGCTTCGCGATGTTCTCCACGGCCTGCTCCAGCTCCATCTGCCTGGCTAACTGATTTGGTTCTGGGGACGGCGTAGTGGCAGACACATCTTCCTTCTCCTCCGGTTCCTTCTCCAGATGGGCAGGATCGCTGTTCAACTGGGAAGATAAACTCCCCTCCTTCTGGGGACTCTCGCTCTTCTCAGGGGGACCCGCCACTACCTCAGCTTCCTTTTCCACTGCTGGCCCCGCAGGGCCCGCGGCCACGCTGGGACTTGCACCGGTATCCGTGGTTTTCAGATTTGCAGATTTGTCTGCTGCTGACCTAGAGTTTCGAGATCTCCCTCTCTTTGACTTGGAGTTTTTTTCAGGGGCTGCTTTTTTCTCCACCACTTCAACTGCAGGGGCTTCCGGTACATTTTTGTCTGTGCCAATTTCTTTTTTGTCACGTTTCTGTTCACTTCCTGCTTCTTCTTTATCAGCCTTGGACTTTGTATTATTTTCTTTCACACTGACCTGGGGACTCACCTCAGTGGCCGCCTCCAGACGTTCAGCATCAACTTTTGGCTCGTTTTTGCCCCTTTTCCCTTGTGGGCCACCAGCAGCTCCTGATTTTTGGGCTCGTGGGGACCTCCATCCCTCCGCTGGTTTGAGCGTCTCAACTGGTTCTTTGGCCTCGGTCTCCTCATCTTCTTCAGCTCGACGGCGTGTTTTCGGAGGCCTTCCCCTCCGTGGGGTCGTGGGAACCGCCGCGGCCTCCTGCAGCTCTCGCTCCAGTCTCTTCCTGGTCACTCGTGGCTGCTCAGTGGGCTCCTTGACGGGAGAGCGGCTCTCGTGGTCTCCCATGGTTGCATAGACACTCCTCACGTTCCGACGCCTCGTTCGGCTGAGGGGCAAGCTTGGTTCTGGGTGTTCTGGGTCTGCCGTGGCATTTTTAGAGGCGGTCCTCGTAATCTTCTCTGCCTCCATCTTCAATTCTAAAAGCTTCTGTGCTTCTCCCCGCGGAGAATTGGACCGCTTGAGTTTCTCCCGGTCTATCCGCTCGCTCTTCCGGGTGACAGGCTTCTCCACAGTACTTGCTGCGGTGGCCTGAACAGGGGTCTTGGAACGCTTACTTTTGTTTGGCTTTTTATCTTTCGTGGCAACCGGAGGATCGACCTCAATGTCTTCAGCAGCTTGAGGCTGAACCTCAGGGACAACTTCAGCTTTTGGATTTGCACTGGGCTCAACATTAGCAGCTGAGTTTGGCTTTTCCACTTTGGGCTCATCAGCGTCCTCAGGCTTCTGAGTTGGTTTTGAAAGCGGTTGGGCACTGTCGGGTTCTGGATCTACAGTGACCTCAACCTGAGAAAATGAGGCCCCAGGAGTTGGAGGCTTGGTGTCCAGATAAGGCAGCTGGTCAACTGATGAACTTTCTTCAACAACTGATGGAGTCCTGGCAGCATCTTTATTGGCGTCCGCTCCTGGGGGCAGGTCGCCTTGCTCGGTTTGCTGCACAGCAGTGGGAGCCTGCTCAGACACAGGCTTTGCTTCTTCTGAGGCAGAGGCTGGCTCCCGGAGCTTCTCTTCTGTCACCAAAGGCACCTCCCCTGCTTTTTCACCTGCTGTCACCTTTTCCGGTGATGACGATACTGACTCTGGAGTTACAGCTGTGACAGCAGGAGGCCCAATGGGAAGGGGGGTCTTCGGTTCCACCTCTTTACTCTCAGAGGCAGATTCTGGGGTCTCAGGATGATCCTCTGTATCTTCCTGTTTTTCAGCCTCTTTGGGTTTTTGGTCTTTTTCCTTTTCTTTCTGTTGCATTCGCGTGAGTTCCATAAATCTGCTATGGAAAAGAACTACTGGCTCTTGAATCACGTCAGCTGTGCTGTTTGCTCCATCAGACGCCTGCCTCCCATACAACCTGCCAGCAACGAAGTCTGATTCCTCGTCTTTTCTCTCCAGATGCTGCAATCGCTTGGAATCTTGTTCAAAGATTGAGCTGTGTAAAAAACGAGAAGCAAATAATTCTTGTCTTTCCTGTTCTTCTTCTTTATGGTCATCTTTTTTATCATCCATTTTTCCTTCGGAATCAGTCCGAATTTTCTTCTTTTTCATGTACCAGGATGGAATAGGTCTTGGAGCAGAGTCAACCTTCTCTTTATCTTTGTTGTTTCGAAAATTGGCAAAACGGGAGTCCCAATCAAGAAAAGACCAGTTTTCTTCTCGAGATGAAGAGAGGGACTTAGCTCTTTCAAGCAAAGCCTTCGTGTCTGGTGTGATTGTCTTATCCAGTGCAAAAGAGTAAAATTTGTTCCTTTCTAAAGAACTGGAGAGTCTTTCCTCTCGCTCACGTAGCTTGTCTTCTCTGTCCCTCAATAAAAAAGACAACCGAGAACTTTCATATAGTGCAGAGGCTCTGGGTGAGTGGGATTTGTGTTCACCGTCTTCATCAGAATCAGAAGGCACCTCCCCAGGTTCCAAGTCACGTACAGACCTCTTTCGAAGGCTGTCTCTCTTAATTATGCTGTTTGGGAAACTCACATCAAATCTGCTGGCATCTTGTTTCATTTGAGAATCCCACCGGTTTAGTTCATCTTCAGAATTCAAGACAGAGAGCTTTATTTTGGCCATGTCTGCCATCTGTTCTCTCCTGCTAGAATCATAAGGATTAAATTTTAAAGACTCTTCTCTGACTGTGATGTTAGAATAGGGGAGACCTTTCTCATCTACTTTAGGAGACCCTCTTACTGACATGAGCCTAGGGGAGCCTATAGGGTCGTCGTCTTCATGGAAAGAGCCATGTCGGATGCTGGGAGAACCGCCAGCCCTTTCAGAATCTTCACTGATCTGGCGTGAACTTCTGTAATTCCTCTCTCTCTTGGTGCAGACATCAAAATCCACGTGGTCCATCCTTTTCTTTTTGCTCGGAGGAGAGTCGTCAGTAACATCTTGGGGGGGTTTGCCTACCTCGTGAACCAAACTACGTCTTTCATATTCATCTACATCTTTTTTAGGACTGCCAAACTTCTCAGACTTGGCTATTTCCATCTCCATCTGCTGTTTTCTCCGACTCTGCTCCATTTGTTTTCGGTAACTCTGCGTGTGATCAATATCAATGCCAATTTTTTCTTCAGTATTTACTGAATGTGGTTTCTCTTGGCTTGGTTTACATTCAAGTGTTTCATCACGAAGACTGCAATAGTTTTTCCTAATATCTTCTCTCTCTGGTCCCTGATCATCTAATAATTGCAGCTGTTTGAGTTGTGGTTTTGAGGGAATAGGTTTTTTTGACTGGATTTCTTGATTTTCCACAGAGTCACATACTGGTTCTCCCAGCCTTGCTTGTAGGTCTGAGTTGGGCCTTGAGCCAGTCCCAACAGAAACGCTGGCAAGCTCCTGACACTCTTTGGGGCTGGGAGCAGCATTAAGTCTGTCTAGTTTTATTTTCTTAGATTCTCGTTTAAGAATTTCTTTCCTCGCAGGCTTTCTTTCTGACTCTCCTTCCCTCAGCAGAAGGATGTCTCTAGAGGATAGGTCAGGCTGCTTTTTTAAAAGTACCCGAGCTTCCTCCATCTCTGGACTACTTTTCTTGACTTCGGATTTTTGCTTTTCTACTTTCAAATTGGAATCTGCAAAGCGCCGCTTCCTTGCTTCCAGCTTCTCCAAGTCTGCAGCGCTGACCCCATCAGCAGTCTGCTCTGGTTTTAGGTGCTTCCTGGATTTAAGCCTGCCTTCCTTATCTACCACTTCTATGTGGCTTGACAGGCCCTTTTCCTTTGGCACTTTCATTCGAACCGGTTCCAGTTTAGACAAGTCAGACTTTGTGGGCTCTGTCTGACAGACCTGAAGTTTCTGATCTAGGGCAGAAGACTTGGCAGTGTCATTATCAAGCTTGGCTTTCAGCTTTTCCAAGGGAGTATGGTCAATAACTTTCCCCTCTTTTTCTTTCACTCGGGTCAAAACTACACAGGGCATGAGCTCAAGGCGGTTTTTTGCTATCCCTTCTTTGTCAGCTTTTTCTCTGCTCAGTTTGTTAGAACTCCTTGATTTTTCGGGGCTCTGTTCCCTCTCATTTTCTTGGTCTGTCTCTGAAGACTGAGAACTAGGAGAATGAACTTTTCCTTTTCGTTTCTGCTTTTCAGTTTTGTCCTTTTCCACTTTCTCCTTCCTTATTAAGCGTCTCTCTCTTTCTACTCTCTCAGGATCAAAAGTCCTTTCTTTATCTGCCTTTTCATTTTTTGTATAGCGTTCCAAACGAGATTTGTCCAGTTTTTCATATCTTGGAGGGGAAAGTGAGCTACAGCTTCCACTCCGATCTGAGGACCTGCTGTAAATCCTCCTCTCTGAGTCACTCGGCAGCCGCTCGGACTGTGAGGGAGAGGTGCCAGGGCTCTGGGGGCGCCGCAGGTGCACCGGGCTCTGACTGCGCTCACTTGGCCGCCTCTCGTGGTCTCTGTCTCGGTCAGACTCAAATCTTTCGCGTTCTCTTTCTCGTTCCCTTTGCCTATAACTGTATTCCCGAATATCCTGTTCATAAGGATCATTTCTGTAATCCCTGTATTCCCGAGGATCGTCATAGTATCGTGATTCATAGTAGTCTCCTTGGTAAGTTTCCCATTCTGAATAAAATTCTCTCCCTCGAGCTGGATAGTCCCGTCTGGAGTCCTCAGGATATGTGCCCGGAGTACGAACATTCTCATAATATGTACGATCTTGGCTATAGTCATAAGATCCCCTTCGTTCCTCTCTATCAAATTCAAAAAAGAATACATTAGTTCTTTTGTGTCCTTGTCATTTACACATTTAATCACACATATGAGATTAAAAGCCCTATTCTAAAAATCTTTGCCATTATTTAATCATTAGACTTGGATGGTCCAATATGGTACATAGCCGCAATTTACATGTGGCTATCAGTAACTTAAAATTTGAGATGTGACTATAAAATACACATTGGACTTGGTACATTTATCTTTTAAAAAAGAAACCCTTCAAATAATTTAGATTGATTACATGTTGAAATGGTAATATTTTAAAGCTATGAGTTAAATGAAATTAATGTCACCTTTTTTTCCCCACATTTTTATGTCTACCAGAAAATTTAAAACTGGTTCAGTCGATTAAAAATGCAACTTGATTTCAGTTCAGGTCATGATCTCATGGTTTGTGGGATCAAGCCCCACATGGGGTCCACGCTGACAGTGTACAGCCTATTTGGGATTCTCTCTCTCTCTCCCTCTCTGCCCCTCACATGTGTGCATGCTCGCTCTCAAATGAAATAAATAAGCTTAAAAAAAATTTAAAACCACAGTTTAGTCTACATGTTTCTACTGGATGACACTTCAGCCCCCCCCCCCTTTTTTGGTATGAGGTGGTATGACATAATGATCACTAGTATATTACACAGTATCACATCCCCACACTTCTGAGTCTTTCATAATTACTTTTCTGCCAAAAATATTCTTACCACAATCTGGGAAAAAAACGTACTACTGGTAAAAATAGTTTAATTAAAATATTAAATATTAAAAAATATTTTAATTGAAATCCTCCCACCTATGTGACCCATAGGATACTGATAACACATCTATCTCAATTCACAGTTTAAAAAAGCATGCTGGGGGCCAGTCTCCCTAGGCTGTCTCCTCACTTGTAAAATGATGGTAACCTTTCCTCAGAAGGTACTTAAGATTAAATAAGATAACATTTGTAAGAACTTTCCTAACATAATGTGAAGACCTTCAGTCATATTGTTACTTTTCCCCAACCCATGAACTGATTACAAGCTTTGTGAAAGGATTCCTCAATTGTAAAGGAATTCACCATGGTTTTCTCTTACAGTGACCTATAGGGGGCATTTAAGATAAGATTAAATTTACACACAAGAACATGTATGATAGATAAAATGAAATTCACCCATAACAGAGACTAATTCTTTCACTCTCGTTCACTCTCCATTTTTGTTCTCTCAAGCAGGTCATGCATTCTACAAAGTACTGCCATTAGTGGCTCACTGAAACAAAAATCTAGAACTTAAGCCCCTAATGGCATGAGCTTTGTCTCCTTGGCTACAAGTTTTTCTAGCTCTTGTAACAGTGCTTGACTCATAGGAAGGACTGAAATATCTATTGAAAGAATGAACCTTAGAAAAATATGTCAGTGGGGTTCCTGGGTGGCTCAGTTGGTTAAGCGTCTCTTTCAGGTCATGATCTCGCAGTTTGTGAGTTCAAGCCCCGTGTTGGGCGCTATGCTAACAGTATGGGGGCTGCTTGGAATTCTCTCTCTCTGCCTCTCCCCTGTTCACACATACGTGTGTACATGCTTTCTCAAAAAAAAAAAAGGGGGGGGGGAAGGGAGGAGACGAGAGGAAAATATGTCAAAGCTACTACTGGGTGTTGTTCCAATACACTCTCCACAGCAAATGAAGTATTTAAAGACTTAATATCCAAACACTAGAAGCATCACACATTATTATATATATTTGTATGGCATTTCTCAGTCCAAAAAGAGTATTTTTTTTTACATTATCTAGGTTATTTTTTTTTAATGTTTATTTATTTTTGAGAGAGAGACCAGAGCGTGAGTGGGGGAGGGGCAGAGAGAGATGGAGACACAAAATCCGAAGCAGGATCCAGGCTTCAAGCTGTCAGCACAGAGTCCAACGTGGGGCTTGAACTCACAAACCGCGAGATGGTGACCCGAGCCAAAGTCAGACACTCAACCAACTGAAGCACCTAGGCACCCCTATGTTATTTAATTGGTTTAGAGATGGTCTTTCTTAGAGTTCCACAGGAATCAGAGGCTTTGCCTAAATAATAGCCAGCCATCTTGCAAATGTTACTAGGCATGGAACTTGGCTAATTCATTGCCACCATAAATTCCAAGGAAGCACCACTTTCATAAATATACTGTATGCTTTCTTTTTAAAAGAAATGTTTATATGAAAGAGAGAGAGAGAGAGAGAGAGAGCACGCGCGCGCGCAGGCACACGCACACGAGTGGGGGAGGGACAGAGAGAGAGTCCCAAGCAGTTCCACGCTGTCAGCGCACAGAGCCCAATGTAAGGCTCGATCTCATGAATCATGAGATCATGACCTAAGCTGAAATCAAGAGTCAGACGCTTAACCAACTGTGCCACCCAGGCACCCTACTTTCATGCTAATATAAAATGATTAAGACACCTAGAATGGCCACTAGTTCACTGCCCACATTAACAGTAGGCTTGAGAGATGTTTTAATCAGACTACAACTATACCCAAAAATATGAAAATATTTACAGAAGCCAAAGGTATATGTGTAAATGTTAGTGCTGGAGCACTGTTCAGTTTAATAAATACTGATTTTGCACATATTTTGCTGGGCCTTATGACTACCAAAAGAAATGAGCGTTCCTGTCCTCAAAGAACTCAAGTAAGAGACAGTACAACTCAACACTGAACCTTGGACAAAAGGGTGTTCAGGAACCTGGAAAAGCCAGGTTTTGAGAACTCTGTTCACGTGACTGCACAATATCCCAATTCCCCTAAGTAGGTGGGAAATTCATTTAAAGCATAATAGGCTCTTGTAAATTTATCTTGAGAATCATTTTGGTAAAGTATAAAGCTCCATGCACCAGCAGGAAGGAGCACTGGGTTTATCTCCAGACTAAAATCTTAGCCTGTGACCTTATCAGCAAGGCGATCTGATCTTCGGTTCCACTAAAAGTAACACAAGATAAGAAGGAATAAATGAAATGCTACTTTTAAACTGCAGAACCCTATGCAAATCGGTCACTGTTTGCATTCCTGAGGGAAACTACCATTAGAGGTAAACCATTTTTTCATTCATTCATTTATTACGCATTCAGTGGGATGGCTTCCTTCCACTCTGTATGAAGGGCAGATATCCTCAAGTTCTACTGCAAAGAGTGCACTCCATAAGCACTGCCATCTAAAAAAAAATGGGGCAAAACTGGGTCACACCCTTCTGCTTCCTACTTTAGGAGATAAATTCCATTCAAAAGGGATAAATAGCCACGGGTAAAAACCAAAGAACAAAGCCAGAGCCAGAACGTCAGTAAAATGAGTGAATTTAAAAGTGGTAATATACAAAAATTAACACCCACACAGCATTATCCAACCCTCACAAGACACTATTCTTTGAAAAATATTTAATGTATGCATAGAGGATTTTAATGGATGTTTTGTCTTAGGTGCCACCAGACCACCAACACACTTCGTACTGGCATATGGGTAAGAATTCCTGTAAGTACTAAAAATGTTAAAAATGACTTTGAACTGCTACTTGGGGAGCCAGGGTGGAGACCTTTCTTCTCTCTCCACAGACACATATATTCTCATGCATATGCACATGTATGCTCTCACGTGTGTGCGCGTTCTCTCTCTCTCTCTCTCTCTCTCTCTCTCTC